CATGAACATGACATATTATTTGCATTTGAATTATAAATTTGATGAAGTGTGAATTGAGACTTATTACTTTAATTGTTGTGAGGTCATGTATGAATTAATTATTGATGAACTTATATATGAATATTTCATGTATGTGTATTATATATGTGTGACTACACGACCTTTTTCCTACACCGATAAGCAGAGTGAGATATGTTCTCACTCCCCTATTTCCTTGTGTTTGTTTTGTGATGTATATGCATGTGATTTTCACTTTGGAGGAGTTTATGTGGTGGATGAGAATGCTTTGATTACATGTGACATTTGGGTTTATATAGAATTACTTTTTTGTTCTTTTGCAATAATATAGTTCTAGTTTATTTCCTTTGAAAATGTACCACAATTTCTTGTAATAGTTTGGTTTAGTCTTTTGAATCTTGAATTTAGAATGTAGTACATTTTACCTCAGTGTTGAGTTATTTAATGAAGTATTTTCTTTTTAGAAATTTTTTCATATTATGTATATGGGTATAGTGTGTTACAAAAATAAGTGTGGATAGTTGGAAAGGACACTAGTTTCACATAAGAGAAGCATCATGATGCATTGTTCCATACTTGGCAAACTAGTCTGCACATGAATTGCCTCTACGAAAGGTATGTTGGAAGGTAATAATCCAGTCCAAGCTCATATGTTTATGAATGAGATGTATCATATGTTTCCGAATCTCCTGTTATACTTTTGTTGAATTCTATGTTGTGATGTTGTAGTATGATGTTAATGTGATATGAATTGATATCGATATATGAATATATGAATATGAATGAAGAGTAATGTGATACGAGGAGAATGTTAAATGTGAGATTCTATAACCATGTGAATGTAAAGTATATAGTCTGTTCGACATATACCATATCCATAAAATGTTTTTTAAAGGATACAATATGAAATACACTACTAGGGAATGTCCCTTGTGTAAAAGTTTTGGAATCAAACTTGGGGATAACTTAGTTTAGAAGTCTCAATCTTATCCTTATGAGCATGGGATGTATCTTGCACGACTTAACTATTCCCACTAGACCCTGATAGTATGTCCTTCTAGTGAGAGTGCATAGAGGTGTGATCCGACATTTACTCTTAAACTACTCTAGTGTGTTACTATCGACAATGCACAAATATTATGTTTTTACTAGAGTCACATGTATGATAACATGTAGTTCATATCTATTGTATACACATTATAATCTTATCAGTTGTTACTCATTATGTTATGAATGAGTTAAATATGACGTCTATTTCTGTATGTTATATCTTATTATATGTGTTGTTCGTGTTTGACTATCCAATTTGCTTTTTTGCACCGTTAGTCAGAGTGAAATTTTTCTCACTCTCTTTTCTTTTGTGTTAGTGATCATCAATATGATGTTGAAAATGTTGATGGTGAGGACTAAACCTCAATGTTGGGTTTTACTTTGATAGGATACATGACATTAGAGAAATAGTTATAACTAGTTAGAATTTGATTCATATTATTTAATTTAAGTAGTTTAATTTTAATTCTTTTGTAATTTGTTATTCTACTAAATCTAGTTTATATTAAAATGTGATTCTCTCTATCTATATAACTTTGAGTTTATTTATTACGTCAAGATTATTCAATTTATATTACAACATGTGTTATGACATGTCATCCATTCTAAATAAATTACAAAGCTAGAGTTGAGTTTGAATCACAAACAACATGTCTAAATCTATCATTCCTTGCTTTACAAAGACCATGAGGAATGACAAATAGTGATTATATCCCCCCTAACCTTTCACTATCTTCCCCCGCGCGCCATTGTTTTCAAAACTATCTACGTTCTTCTCTTATTCTCTACACCTTTGTTTGCACATTGCACGTTTCTAAGTCTCTAGGAGTCTTCACATTGCACGTTTGAGGTTAGTTTCTTCTCAACGCAATTTTTTTCTTCATTTTCAGTTAAATTTTCATTTGGAACGGCCCATTCTTCAACCAGAACGAGCCGTTCTGCTTGATTGTTTTGTTTGTTAATTGTTGATCTGGAATGAGCCGTTCCGAAACCTGAACGGGCCGTTCTAGATAAACAATTAACACAGAAGTATTGCAGCTGGAACGAGCCGTTCTGATTTTGGAACGAGCCGTTCCAGACGCATAAATTTGTGTTAACTGTGTATCTGGAACGGCCCGTTCTGGTTTTAGTACGGGCCGTTCCAGATGCATTAAAGAAGGACTTTTTAGGCATTAAAGACATTGCACTTCATGAAATCGTGTCTGGAGCTAATATTTTAAGTGGAAGAAGCAGATCATCAAAGACATTGCACTTCATATACCCTAAGGTTAGCAAATTAATTAATACAGACAATAATATTTAAATTTATTGACTTTGAAAATAATAGTTATTTGTTTCTCATTTTAGTGTAATAAGCAACAAGACTCGTTTGAATGTGGCTATTACATCATGTATTGGGAGAGCCATAGTTTCTGCGGGTTTATGTCTCCCGCATTAACGTCGAAACCTTTTCTGACGTAAAAACCTTAAAATAGCCGACGTTAAAGACCCCTTTCATACTAGTGTAAATAACATATAATAAATATATATTACACCTTAGGTATGGAATTGTAACCGAAAATACCACTTTATTCTGACAAAAATTGATCCGGTGAGAATAAATTACTCCCCCTTATCAAACTAAAAATAATTAAATATATATTAGGCATTAATACATATAAAGGGCTGCATAAAATATACATATAAAGGTGTAGATTTTTTCTTATATATATGTTTTGAATTTTAAAATTTTTAAAATTTTTTATTATATTTATTTTAATATATTTTTCCACTATGTTATATTATTAATATAGATTTAAATATGAATTGATGCCTACAAATATTGCTATGTCTTATTTTAGTCTTTATAATTTTTTTTATCACTTTTAGATTCTCAATTGACATTTCATTAGTATGTTCTTTTAGTTCTTATCACTAATTCGATTTAATTTAGTACTAAAATAGTTAAAAAAATATAATTTAATTAAGTAATACTTATTATTTTATATAAATAAGATAATTATATATAATTTTATTTTATAAATTATTTTCAATTTTATCATATTATGAAAAATAATTTTTTTAATATAGTTCCTACTAGTCTACTAATTTTCTTAAAAATTATAATTTAATTAAACACCTGTAATTTATTCTTAATATATTACTTTTATCTTCAGAAACAAAATCACTACTTATAATATATCAAAAATAAATAAATGATATTACAATCAATTGAAATTAATAAATTGATATTTGAGAAAAAATTAAAACTAAGATATTAAAAATTCATGATAAACAGTCTAAGTCAATTATAATAAATATATTTTTTTTTCAAAATAGTACAATATTAAAAAAATTTAACAAACTGAAAAGTAAGAATAAATTAAATGTAACAAAAATTAAATATTGATAAAAAATAATAAATTTAATTGTAATAAAAATTATTGCTCATGATATATTAAAATTCAAAATAATATATAAAAGAATTTATATAGTTTCCATACTTATATAAAATAATAAATAAATTATTTAACTAAATTATACATGTAAAAATAATTTAATTATGTTAATTAAAAAATATTATTTGTTACAGTAATCTTAGGAACTAAAACAAGATAATAATATTTGCAGGAACTTAAAACATATTTAAGTATAACATATTAAAAAAATAAAAAAAATATACTTATATATATATATATATTTCATGTTGTTCAACTAAAAATTAAGAAATTAAGTAATTTTTATGCAATTTTATTTATTTATGCAGATTTTATTTCATGAAGACTTTATACAAACTTTTATGTTATTTTTTTTTAAGTAAATACTTATAGATATTTATGAGTATTCACAGATAATTCATAGGTACTTACTTAAAGATGAAGACAAAGTAAATATTAATAGGAACCTTCTACCTATACCTATAACTGACCAGCCTTGTTGACTTTCCTAATACAACATGACATAGGAAAGATCCTATATCTAATAAGTATAAATATAGTTTCTAATAATATCATTTTCATTCTCAATTTTTTGTTTTTCCACCACAACAAAATGTGTTTTGAGTAATGTTGCTAAATTATAAGTAATTTTACTAATATGTTTTTGTGATATTTTATCAAATGTGATAAGGTTTGTATAATTAAAGATTTTTAGCAACATTTTATATATTAATAATAATATTTTTAAAGATATTGATAAAGTGGTATTTTTTAACATTTTAATAATGTTCTAAATTTTTATAAACTTTATAAAATGATAATTAGTACTAATTGTATTATCACTTAAATTTTATAGCTTTTGTCTACAAATCTTTTAAAGTCGAATATATCTTGTGTGTTTTTTTTTACAAGAGAAGGTATCCTAAGTTAAATCAGATGACAAAATTCATTTATTTTAAGTTTTACTTTATGATTATATATATTCTTTGTGTCATTAATTTATCCAATGTGAGATTTTAATTTTAGAAAATAATTAAAGATCAAAGAAGTATACTCTTTATATATCATTCTTTTACTTGGTGTGAGACTTATAATTTTGAAAAATTATCAAGAATAACAATATTGAGATGTTTGCTTCAAAAAAAAAAACAATATTGAGATGAAAATGTTATTTTACATATGATAATACTTTTTTAGAAAAAATGTTGCAATAATTTATGAACTTAACCTGTGGTAACATTCTAATAAGAGTTAATCACTTATACACTACTAGTGTAAAAAAAATTTATACTGGCAACTAATTATATTTTTTAATTATGTCATGTCACTATAAACACATTGACTTTTAACAGTGACATGACACAACTAAAAAATATAATTGGTTGTCAGTGTAAAAAAACTTTACACTGACAGTATATAGATAATTAACTCTTCTAGTAAATATCAGTATGTAAATATTGTTAAAGATGTTAAATGTAGTAATATTCTGTTATGAATATTCATAAACAATTAAACAAGGCATAAAGGGAAATCAAGCCTCTCTACCTTGGCCAAAAACATCGCGTCCCTTCCAAAATTAAGAATCCCATTTTTGAGCATGCAACTGACTTCTTTATTCCATTCACTTCACACGAAATAGTTTATGAACCCTTATGGATAACCTAAATTATCAAACTATTACATACATTTATAAAATGCACAACGACTTTTACCCTCCAGATTTCTACTGGTATATGTATGAGTATAAACTTCACTTAATTGTTTTTCTTAATAATCAGTTCACTTTCCTGCAATTGACGCGAATTTCACCTTGATTCCCAGTAAGGGGCTGAATATTCCCCATCTTAATCATCGAATTCCCGAAATCCACGAAGAAATCGTCGGAATCGTAGCTGTACTCTTTGACAAGTTCATCAGTACAACCACCATTGAAGAGTTCTTGATCAGAGTGAAGAAGCCCATTCTTTTGAACCAAACCAGAGAAATACTGGATGTCAAATTTCGCGGCTGTTTGGTCCAAAGGAGAAAGGTTGGTGTCACCACCAGTTCTTGGGCAAATGTATTTAAGGTCTTGTGCAAAGTTGGGATCGATGTTGGAGTCATTGTAGATACGGTCCCTGAATGCAACACATTGTGCATATCCAATACTGTGGCCTCCTGAAAGGACAACAAGGTCCTTCTCATCGAGACCATGGTTCTTGAAGTTGGTGATGAGTTGAGAGAGGTTAAAAAATGCTGCTGGAATGCTTGCATCTGCTGCATCACGACTTGCTGTGGTAGAGTCTCTTCTCCCCAGTGGCACATCCCATGTTGGCCCCCCTAACTGCATGGTGCATCAACATGTTCATTATTTCTTTCATTCATGCATATATGTTGGAACTTGGAAGAAAAACAGTTGTGCTCATATTTTCAATTATATAAATAACAGTTAAAAATCAAGTAATATAGGAATATCTAATAATTTATATGTACTCAAGAGCGGGTTTAGAAGATACTGATATAAAAAATTAAAACTATCTTATCTCTTCAGAATAAAGAAATCCACTTATTTTCTTTTAAAATAAATTTACTTATGAAATGAATAAATGAAAAGAAATAATATGTTAATTTTTTTTAAAAAATAAGAAAAATCTATAAATAAAATAACCTTTAAAACCACTTTTGTTAATATAATTAATTTTTATATATATGGTCAAAGCGAGAGTAATCTCTTTTTGGTTGTCATAAATAGGTTAAGTAAAACGGATTCCTACATGTTCAATTTTTATTGACATACATAAATGGAAATATAGAGAAAACAAACTGTGTTGTTGTTGTTGAAAGTATTGTAAAAAAATTATTACATGGATAATGTAAAATATAACCACTTACCTTCATTTATAAAAAGAAAATTGGCACGTGATACATCATTTATAAATTTAATTTTATTTAACATGCAAGACAGTATTTCCTCCATCTTATGTTGTTTCTCGTTACGATATTCTATAGTTAATAAAAAAATATATATTATGTTTTCGTAATATACTGTAATTTATTTAACCGTTGACTTCTGTAAGTCAAAGTAAAAAAAAATGCATTTCATCATCCTTTACGTCCTTTACTATCGTAATTAATACATGTAAAAATTTCAGGATGGACTAATTCAAGTCAAAATGTTAAGCCTTGTAAAAATATTACATATATGATCAGTAAACATTTAACGCATAACATTTGGAGTTATAATTAGTAATTAATAGTAGTATTATAGTATTCAAACTCACCGCAACGACAGAGTCACGAGCTGCTACAGCCAATATATCAGCGCAAGAAACAACTGGTTTTCCACATGCTTCATCCACTGCCCCCTTTATCTCATCCACCACTTCAAACCCTCTAGCTGATTGGAAATTAGCTCTTGAATTCTTTTCGCTGTCAATGGTGGGTGAAGGGTCCAGTAGAATTGAACCATCACAACCCTAAAACACCGTAAAAAAAATAAATTAAATTAAACTGTTAGACTTGCATTTTCGTATAATCTTTTTTTTTTGGCTTAAATATGAAGTACATTTCTATGACGAATAATCTATAGATCTCCTAAGTAAATTTTACCTCCCTTAATAAAATCTTTTTGACTCAAATTGTTTTTCAGTTTTTCAAATTTACAATAAATTTATTTTTTATTTCTCTAATTTAAAATTGATCTTTTAAATTATTGTAATATTTTTTTAATTCCATGAGTCACAAATAACATATATGATATTGAAAATTTAAGACAATTATGTAGGGTCAACTATTAACTGAGTTTTATGTGATATTTTTATTAATAAAAATATTAGTATATGTGAAATTTGTGTGATAGTATTTCACAAATTTACTAACTAAATTTGACCATAAAGACTAAAATAAGATGTTTTCAAATTAGAGAAACTAAAAAATCTATTTTAAATTTAAGGAAACAAAAATAAATTTAATCTAAATTTAATAAACTATATATATATATATATATATATATATATCAATCATTCATCGTCTTCATATCTCAATTCACATTTAACATATCTCATTTCACATACATATCTCATATATATATATATATATATATATATATATTTATTTATAATTCCTTAACAATAAATTTTTCTGTGATAATTTCTTACGTTATTTGCACAAAAACATAGAATGTCTTACATTGACAAAGCAATCATGGAAGTGCAAGCGTAGCAAGGATGCACCCATACGGTACTCTTTCTGCACTGCAGCCTCCACGACACTTTTGATGGTGCTCAAAGCATTGGGGCACGAGTAGTCATAGTAATTTGGTGTCAATTGTGAGAAAACTGAGGTTGCAAGACTCACAAACACAAAAGCATGGAGAAGAACAAAGAAATACCCACGCGATCCCATACTATTTTACATGCAATGAATGACTGATCAGGATATATAGTACTATGTTAAGCTATTAGATAACAATGTCACAACTGAGAAATGATGAAACCTATTGGGATTTATTTGGATTGCTATTGCTACATTGTTGTATTTATAGAGGCGCTGAGACGTGTTCCGCAGAGAATATACGATTATTTTTGTGGTCCATAGGAAATAAAAAATTATTACCAATAACCTGCACCATATCATACCTACAATAGTCATTTGTGGACTGAGCCTATGAAAAGACCATTTCACCTCAAAGAAACATTCGTTATTGGTATTGATTAGGGTGTTAAGAAACCCTAAATTAAATAAAGAATAGTTGAGTGATTGATTTAGTCCACTATATATTAGGTTACAACTGTTGTATCTATATGTACGCCGACCACAATGAATATTGTAAAAAAAAAAAAAATGTAAACTGTAAAAGGGGAATATACATTGGATACATCTTTTTTGACTAAATAATGAAAAAATAATCGATTGTACGTTCTTCTTAAAACACTTTTATTTTTTCTAAGAAAAAAAATTCTAATAAAAAGTACAGTAATTTTAATCTTCTTCTTAATTAAAAGTTAAAACTAGTGGCTTCTAAAAAATGTTTTAGAATATATATAACTAGAGACCAACAAAATCTAACATAGTTAGTAAATAGCTAAATTTCTTAAACATATTGTGCACGGACTCAATACTATGTATGGTGGTGTGTATTGAGAATACTTTGTTTAGAAATACAAAAGTCACTTTCATAATCTTTATGTCTGAAAAGAAATTAACAGAAAGTTGGTGAATATCTTTAGTTCACATAAATAATACTCCCTCCATCTCATAATGTCATGCATGTTTGAGGAAAAAACGAGTCTCAAAATATCATGTTAGGTTTTTCAACTAGATTTTTTTTTATATCTCTCACAATATTATTTAAAAAGTGATTATTGTATTACACTGCTTCTAACAAAGAATATTAATTATAAGATTAATTTTGTAAAATTATTATTTTCTATTATCCATTTATTAGTTTTTCTTAACATTTATAAAACAATGTAGAGTGAGACTTATTGTGGGGCAAAGGAAGTATAACCTAAGTGTTTTTTTTTTTTGTTTTTATAAAGAAAATGATTAAATATGTAAAAAAAGAAAATCTTTTTGGATTTGGCCGTGTTTCCGTGTTACCGCTTCACTTCAGGACGGAGGCCTACGTGCGTAACTTCGTCACAAAATGCAGCGCCATTGGGTAAAGAGAGAATTTGGAAAATACAATGTATTAATTTAATTTGAATACCTTTTAATTGTCTAAATTAAAGAAATAGTAATTTATAGTGACACCTACTAGATTGACTACTTCAATGAAATGGCCATGGAAATTAGATGGAAGGAACTTCACCCAAATTTATCTATATGCTCCTTTCCATCCTTGAAGGGTCTGCTTCATCTATTCGATATGCCACAGCCTCCATGTGATGCCACTACCGATTGATGGAGATTAATTCATTAACACTGTTTACTAAGAATAGTGAAATAAAAAGGAAAAAAAATTACGTACGATAAAAAAATAAAAGAGAAATAGAATTAAAAAGATGTAACATTTATATGGATAAAGAAAAGAAAGAACAACATTAACATTGTTTGATTCATGAATGGAAAAAAAAAAAAGAGCGGAAGAAAAAAGAAATTGAACGAAAAATATTTTTATACTAATGAAAAAAAATATTTTTTTTTCACTCCTCCGTGATTTTCTTAACATTAAATTATTATTTATTGATTAGAAAAATTTATTTTTGAGAAATTAAAACAAATAGAAGAGAGCGAGAGAGAGTATTTTCGACATTCCTATTTCATCCTAATTTGGGGAGAGGGGATTTTTGATAGATTACATATAAATAATAGGCATGTTTGTTTAAGCTTTTATTTTAAAAAAGGAACATTTTTTTTAAATAAACAGTTTTCTGTTTTTTTTTATATGTTTTTTTCTAAAGTCTTTTTTTAAGTAAAAAAACAATTTTCTATTGTTTTAAGAAGCAAATCTGATCTGTTTTAATAAATTACTTTGTTAAAAATTACCTTTTATTTTTCATTTTAAACAAACTAGTTAAATATTTGTACTTTCCCAAATTTTTTTCAAATAAAAAATTAAAGTTAATATTTTTATCACACCTTCTTAATTTTATTTTATTTTTTTTTATTTCACTTTATGAGAATAAAAAGAAACAGAGGGTTCGTCTCATGTGCACATATATACGAAACTGATATTCTTCTTTGCTTGAATATTTTTGTATCCCTAAATTAAGCTATTCATATGAGATCTCATATAATTGAAGATATATACAGGATGAAAACTTGTGGTGATATATAAGAATGCACTTCAATTTGGAAAATGACGGTATAATTTTATAAAGAGATATATATTTGTACAATAATTTATACAACAAATTTTACACCTAAGATAAAAAATAAAGGTATGAGAAGCAACAGGTTTAAGATAAATAAAAAAAATATTGTTGTATAAAAAAGTATGAGAAGCAACAGGTTTTGTGATTGAAAAAGATAGATAAAAAAAAATATTGTTGTATAAATTGTTGTTTGACTTTGAATGTATCACACAACTCGTTCATAAATAGCTATCCAAATGTAGAATTTTACAAATGACAAGAATTAAATAGATTTTATAAAAATTTATTGTGCTTAAAGCTTTCTTAAATTACTTAGATTTTAATTTTTATTATTTTTAAATATTTTGTTTGGATAAGTCAAATCAAATTTATTAAATTTTAAATTCTTAATTTAGATATGATAGTTTGATTTCCACTATAGATAAAATTGATTATATATGTATATATATTTTGAGATTTTAAGATTAAATTTTATAAAATAAATATTAGTCAATTTTCAAATATTTAATAGCTTTAAAAATTTATATTAGATAATGTTTACTAATTTAAAAATATTTTTGAATATTCAATAGTTAAAAAAATTATTAATATATTTTATGTTGACTTTGAAAGAGGTGTAGAAGGTAAGAGAAAAAGGAAGAAAAAAGAGAGGAGAAAAGATAGAATAGAAAGAGGGAGAGATGAAAGAGAGAGAGAGAAAGAGAGAGAGAGGAGAGGAGGGAGAGAGAGTATGAGAGATGGAAAAGAGAGTAACAAAGAAGCATAAAAGATAAGAGAGAAATGATAAATAAATAAAAGATATATAAGTGAAATAAAAAAAATATGAAAAATTTTAAATTCTTAATTTTTTTGGAGAAATTTGAAATCTTATTATTTTAAGAAATTTTTACCAATGTTTAAATTTTAAATTTTTTACAAATTTTTCATTAAAACAACACATTTCATCTTAAACATTTAAAATTCTTAAAAAAAAAATGAATTGTTCTAAACATATTATTATAGAATTGATATACTTTTTTCTCTCGAATAAAGTAAGCTACCTAAACTTAGACGCAGGCTGTTTGTTTCAACACAGACGAAATGCAATTTTGTTCTACATGTAGTGTTCGACAAGAAACTGCATTTTACAAAACAGACGAAAGGTAATTTTCTTTCTATATGCTGCGTAGAAACTGCAATTTACATGCACTGTATATGCTACGCATGTGCTTTAAATCTTTTGTAATAAACTAATAGACAGCCAATCAAGATAGTGAAAGGTATTACAATAGTCAAACTATTATATATTCAATTTGGAATTCCTTTAACAGCAACACATTCTTTAATTATTTTTTTTAACGGAAAAAAGTTTCATTAGTGAAAGAAGATAAAAGGTAAAGGGTACCCCACCCTTATAAGTCTATGATTGAGACAAGTTGTTATAGTTCTATCCTCACACTCAAAAGCTAACCTCTCTTGCAGAAAAGTAATTACACATGTATAGAAAATAAAACCTAACTAATTATCTACCCTTCCAAATGCTAATGAACGGAAAAAACCCTAAAGAAGTTGTCAAACTGTTATAATTAAGTTTAAATTAATATGTTCAAATTATCTTTAATTATGTCAGTTTTCATATTACTACCTATTAATTTTTTTTATTTTAATTATTTGACTATTTTTTTTTTAATTTAATATTTAACGTTACTCCCCCTCTATTAAGTGATGACGTGACTGACAGACGACTACGTCATCATTCAATAGTGTCTGCCATATCATCCAAATGTCCACATTTCACGGTTAAGGGTTTAGGGTTTGTCTTTGGATGAGAACAAATTGAAAGAACCTTAAAAGAAGAAGAAGAAGAGGGCTCTCGTGAGTGAAGAATTAGAAGAACCCTGAAAGAAAAGAAAGAGTTAGGGTTATTGTTTGTTTGTCGTTGTCTTTGACCCAACTTGCATCAAAAGATACAGTATGGACCCCAAAAGATGCACATGCATCAAAATTAGATACACATTTTGTATCAAAAGTATCATAGCAAAAGTAATCCTAATAAAAACATCTATTCCCTTATCCTCTGTTCCTGTTATGGTTCTTTTTCTGGTGCACTTGGTCCTTCTAGAGTTGGTCCTTGTGGAGTTGGCCCTTCTGCAATTGGACTTTCTGTTGCACCAATCTCACATCATTCAGATCTACTTGCTTCTTTCTTGTGTTTACTCCTTTGGAGGGTCTTCTTGGCACCAATTTTGGTCTCATGTTTCTTTCGTGCAAAGGTAAAAGATTAATTAGTACTTGTATATAAGCAATGAATTCCTTATTGCGTTGGTAAAGGAACTTGTTGTTCAATTTAACACCCCATTTTTCAAAAAACCCTATTATTATTATTATTATATGGTATTTAGTCAGAATTATTTTTATTATTATAGGGGATTATATTATACGTTCTAATTGATTTTTTTATTATATATTTTAGATAATTATTTTATACGTATTAAATAAGTAATTTTATTAGTATTTTAAATAATTATGTATATGTTTTAAGGGATAATTTAAGAGTCGAGATGAGATACAACCTCCTATACTTTTACAATTAGATTAATTATATATTTTATTATAAAATTTAAAAGGTTGATTTTATAGGATATTTTAATATCGAAATTATATTATTATATTTTGGGTCAGAACTATTTTATTATTATTATTAATTAGGGAAAAAATA